GTTCAGTACAATGTTGTAGTGAAACAGCATAGTAGTACTGACACAGCATAGTAGTACTGAAACAGTTCAGTATAATGTAGTAGTGAAACAGCATAGTAGTACTGACACAGCGTAATAGTACTGAAACAGTTCAGTACAAAGTAGTACTGACACAGCGTAGTAGTACTGAAACAGTTCAGTACAAAGCAGTACTGAAACAGTGTAGTAGTACTGACACAGCGTAGTAGTACTGAAACAGTTCAGTACAAAGCAGTACTGAAACAGTGTAGTAGTACTGACACAGCGTAGTAGTACTGAAACAGTTCAGTACAAAGCAGTACTGAAACAGTGTAGTAGTACTGAAACAGTTCAGTACAAAGCAGTACTGAAACAGTGTAGTAGTACTGACACAGCGTAGTAGTACTGAAACAGTTCAGTACAAAGCAGTACTGAAACAGTGTAGTAGTACTGAAACAGTGTAGTAGTACTGAAACAGTGTAGTAGTACTGAAACAGCGTAGTAGTACTGACACAGCGTAGTAGTACTGAAACAGTTCAGTACAAAGCAGTACTGAAACAGTGTAGTAGTACTGAAACAGTTCAGTACAAAGCAGTACTGAAACAGCGTAGTAGTACTGACACAGCGTAGTAGTACTGAAACAGTTCAGTACAAAGCAGTACTGAAACAGTGTAGTAGTACTGAAACAGTTCAGTACAAAGCAGTACTGAAACAGTGTAGTAGTACTGACACAGCGTAGTAGTACTGAAACAGTTCAGTACAAAGCAGTACTGAAACAGTGTAGTAGTACTGAAACAGTTCAGTACAAAGCAGTACTGAAACAGTGTAGTAGTACTGACACAGCGTAGTAGTACTGAAACAGTTCAGTACAAAGCAGTACTGAAACAGTGTAGTAGTACTGAAACAGTTCAGTACAAAGCAGTACTGAAACAGTGTAGTAGTACTGACACAGCGTAGTAGTACTGAAACAGTTCAGTACAAAGCAGTACTGAAACAGTGTAGTAGTACTGAAACAGTTCAGTACAAAGCAGTACTGAAACAGTGAAGAAGTACTGACACAGCGTAGTAGTACTGAAATAGTTCAGTACAAAGCAGTACTGAAACAGTGTAGTAATACTGACACAGCGTAGTAGTACTGAAACAGTGTAGTAGTACTGAAACAGTGAAGAAGTACTGACACAGCGTAGTAGTACTGAAACAGTTCAGTACAAAGCAGTACTGAAACAGCATAGTAGTACTGACACAGCGTAGTAGTCCTTAAACAGTTCAGTACAATGTAGTAGTGAAACAATGAAGAAGTACTGACACAGCGTAATAGTATTGAAACAGTTCAGTACAATGTAGTGGTGAAACAACATAGTAGTACTGACAAAGCTCAGTAGTACTGAAACAGTTCAGTACAATGTAGTAGTGAAACAGTGAAGAAGTACTGACACAGCATAATAGTATTGAAACAGTTCAGTACAATGTAGTAGTGAAACAACATAGTAGTACTGACACAGCGTAGTAGTACTGAAACAGTCCAGTATAATGTAGTAGTGAAACAGCATAGTACAGTAGTACTGACACAGCTTCATAGTACTGAAACAGTTCAGTAAAATGGAGTAGTGAAACAGCATAGTAGTACTGACACAGCATAGTAGTACTGAAACAGTTCAGTATAATGTATTAGTTAAACAGCATAGTAGTACTGACACAGCATAGTAGTACTGACACAGCATAGTAGTACTGACACAGTTCAGTACAATGTAGTAGTGAAACAGTGAAGAAGAACTGACACAGCGTAATAGTATTGAAACAGTTCAGTACAATGTAGTAGTGAAACAACATAGTAGTACTGACAAAGATCAGTAGTACTGAAACAGTTCAGTACAAAGCAGTACTGAAACAGCGTAGTAGTACTGACACAGCGTAGTAGTACTGAAACAGTGCAGTACAAAGCAGTACTGAAACAGTGTAGTAGTACTGACACAGCGTAGTAGTAATGAAACAGTTCAGTATAATGTATTAGTTAAAAAACATAGTAGTACTGACACAGCATAGTAGTAATGAAACAGTTCAGTATAATGTATTAGTAAAACAGCATAGTAGTACTGACACAGCGGAGTAGTACTGAAACAGTTCAGTATAATATAGTAGTGAAACAGCATAGTAGTACTGATGAAACAGTGTAGTAGTACTGAAACAGTTCAGTACAAAGCAGTATTTACTGAAACAGTTCAGTATAATGTAGTAGTGAACCAGCAAAGTAGTACTGACACAGCATAGTAGTAATGAAACAGTTCAGTATAATGTATTAGTGGAACAGCATAGTAGTACTGACACAGCGGAGTAGTACTGAAACAGTTCAGTATAATATAGTAGTGAAACAGCGTAGTAGTACTGACACAGCGTAGTAGTAATGAAACAGTTCAGTATAATGTATTAGTTAAAAAACATAGTAGTACTGACACAGCATAGTAGTCCTGACACAGTTCAGTACAATGTAGTAGTGAAACAGGGAAGAAGTACTGACACAGCGTAATAGTATTGAAACAGTTCAGTACAATGTAGTGGTGAAACAACATAGTAGTACTGACAAAGATCAGTAGTACTGAAACAGTTCAGTATAATATAGTGTACTGACACAGCGTAGCAGTACTGAAACAGTTCAGTATAATGTAGTATTGAAACAGCATAGTACAGTAGTACTGCCACAGCGTAATAGTACTGAAACAGTTCAGTATAATATAGTGTACTGACACAGCGTAGCAGTACTGAAACAGTTCAGTATAATGTAGTAGTGAAACAGCATAGTACAGTAGTACTGACACAGCGTAATAGTACTGAAACAGTTCAGTACAATGGAGTAGTGAAACAGCATAGTAGTACTGACACAGCGTAGTAGTAATGAAACAGTTCAGTATAATGTATTAGTGAAACAGCATAGTAGTACTGAAACAGTGTAGTAATACTGACACAGCGTAATAGTACTGCAACAGTTCAGTATAATATAGTAGTAAAACAGCATAGTAGTGCTGACACAGCGTAGTAGTAATGAAGCAGTTCAGTACAATGGAGTATTGAAACAGCATAGTAGTACTGACACAGCATAGTAGTACTGAAACTGTTCAGTATAATGTATGTAGTAGTGAAACAGCATAGTAGTACTGACACAGCGTAGTAGTACTGAAACAGTTCAGTACAATGTAGTTGTGAAACAGCATAGTAGTACTGACACAGCATAGTAGTAGTGAAACAGTTCAGTACAATGTAGTAGTGAAACAGCATAGTAGTACTGACACAGCGTAGAAGTACTGAAACATTTCAGTATAATGTAGTGGTGAAACAGCATAGTAGTACTGACACAGCGTAATAGTACTGAAACAGTTCAGTACAAAGTAGTACTGACACAGCGTAGTAGTACTGAAACAGTTCAGTACAAAGTAGTACTGAAACAGTGTAGTAGTACTGAAACAGTACAGTACAAAGCAGTACTGAAACAGTGTAGTAGTACTGACACAGCGTAGTAGTCCTAAAACAGTTCAGTACAATGTAGTAGTGAAACAACATAGTAGTACTGACAAAGCTCAGTAGTACTGAAACAGTTCAGTATAATGTAGTAGTGAAACAGCAAAGTAGTACTGACACAGCATAGTAGTAGTGAAACAGTTCAGTACAATGTAGTAGTGAAACAGCATAGTAGTACTGACACAGCGTAGTAGTACTGAAACAGTTCAGTACAATGTAGTAATGAAACAGCATAGTAGTACTGAAACAGTTAAGTATTGCTGAAATAGCTTAATTGTGTTCATGTTGAACAGCTTATTTGAACTGAAATAGTAAAGAATAAGTGAAGCAGCTCATTAGAAATGAAACAGTATAGAATAAGTGAAGCAGCTCATTAGAAATGAAATAGTATAGAATAAGTGAAGCAGCTCATTAGAAATAAAATAGCTGGAATACTGAAATAGCTCACGTACATTTGATTCTCCTGGATAGAGTTATATCACACTGATTTGACATTTATTTCAGAACTTTTTTTGGCGATAGTGATCTCATGTTTCTTTTCATACATAGTGGTTTGTATCCATTAGTGTGCATAAAGCCACATTCTTAATGACTTGACTGACTAAAGTGGCCTTGGCCAGGATACATATGTATACCAAGTATCTTTATAAACACAATCATTGATATAACTTCCAATAAAGATCAAACATCTAAAGTTTATTGTAGGAAGTGTGAACAGACAAATGGAAGATTCAGGTATCAAGATATACCAGTGATGGTCACTACTACTACAATATCATATTGTAACACGAGCATTGAATCAGATTCTTGTGTTCACTTGGAGGGGTTGATGAGAGTCAGGTGTCTATACAGGAACAGTTTAACAGCATTAGTGTGTGATTACAGTCGCTTGTGTGGGTAATCAAAGACACAAGACAAAACGTTACCATGTACAACAGGAAGTGAGGATCGCACTGCAGGGTAACCATCACTTACTCTGGTTCGCTTATGTTCAATCTTTTATATCACCAACCTTCCTGGAAGTGGAAATACAGAAAAATAGGACATCTTGACAGTGTGATCACTAGACCCTACTGATGCTCCAGATTGCATGATAATCACTTAACAGAGCTTTTACCATCAACCAATAAACCTGTTTTAGTTTTGAGCAACCATCATTATTTGTTACACATTAAATAAATAACAAACATGTTTGAACACTTCGATAATTGATAGATGGATGAGAGTTTAACTTTTCTGTAGAATAAAATCAACAAGATAACTTGATACATAAACATAACAAAAAGAATCTGTCTAACATTTTTTCTCCAGAAATCATTATAGACAAGGGGCCAATGGGGCCTAATTACAGTCACCTGACTGAGATGTGGTATAGGTGTTTTCATTGTTGTGAAATGACATGCAAATAATCTTACATACACAGCCAGATAGTACAAGTCAAATGAATATTATTATATAGAAATCTCTAGGCCTTATGATCATTGATAAAAAAAATGGTAAATGAGGAGCCCTCAGACACTGCAACCCACACACTACAGGAGCCCTCAGACACTTCAACCCAGACATTACAGAAGCTCTCAGACAGTGCAACCCAGACATTACAGAAGATCTCAGACACTGCAACCCAGACATTACAGGAGCCCTCAGACAGTGCAACCCACACACTACTGGAGCCCTCAGACACTTCAACCCAGACATTACAGGAGCTCTCAGACAGTGCAACCCACACACTACTGGAGCCCTCAGACACTGCAACCCAGACATTACAGGAGCTCTCAGACAGTGCAACCCACACACTACTGGAGCCCTCAGACACTTCAACCCAGACATTACAGGAGCTCTCAGACAGTGCAACCCACACACTACTGGAGCCCTCAGACACTTCAACCCAGACATTACAGGAGCTCTCAGACAGTGCAACCCACACACTACTGGAGCCCTCAGACACTTCAACCCAGACATTACAGGAGCTCTCAGACAGTGCAACCCACACACTACTGGAGCCCTCAGACACTTCAACCCAGACATTACAGGAGCTCTCAGACAGTGCAACCCACACACTACTGGAGCCCTCAGACACTTCAACCCAGACATTACAGGAGCTCTCAGACAGTGCAACCCACACACTACTGGAGCCCTCAGACACTTCAACCCAGACATTACAGGAGCTCTCAGACAGTGCAACCCACACACTACTGGAGCCCTCAGACACTTCAACCCAGACATTACAGGAGCTCTCAGACAGTGCAACCCACACACTACTGGAGCCCTCAGACACTTCAACCCAGACATTACAGGAGCTCTCAGACAGTGCAACCCACACACTACTGGAGCCCTCAGACACTTCAACCCAGACATTACAGGAGCTCTCAGACAGTGCAACCCACACACTACTGGAGCCCTCAGACACTTCAACCCAGACATTACAGGAGCTCTCAGACAGTGCAACCCACACACTACTGGAGCCCTCAGACACTTCAACCCAGACATTACAGGAGCTCTCAGACAGTGCAACCCACACACTACTGGAGCCCTCAGACACTTCAACCCAGACATTACAGGAGCTCTCAGACAGTGCAACCCACACACTACTGGAGCCCTCAGACACTTCAACCCAGACATTACAGGAGCTCTCAGACAGTGCAACCCACACACTACTGGAGCCCTCAGACACTTCAACCCAGACATTACAGGAGCTCTCAGACAGTGCAACCCACACACTACTGGAGCCCTCAGACACTTCAACCCAGACATTACAGGAGCTCTCAGACAGTGCAACCCACACACTACTGGAGCCCTCAGACACTTCAACCCAGACATTACAGGAGCTCTCAGACAGTGCAACCCACACACTACTGGAGCCCTCAGACACTTCAACCCAGACATTACAGGAGCTCTCAGACAGTGCAACCCACACACTACTGGAGCCCTCAGACACTTCAACCCAGACATTACAGGAGCTCTCAGACAGTGCAACCCACACACTACTGGAGCCCTCAGACACTTCAACCCAGACATTACAGGAGCTCTCAGACAGTGCAACCCACACACTACTGGAGCCCTCAGACACTTCAACCCAGACATTACAGGAGCTCTCAGACAGTGCAACCCACACACTACTGGAGCCCTCAGACACTTCAACCCAGACATTACAGGAGCTCTCAGACAGTGCAACCCACACACTACTGGAGCCCTCAGACACTTCAACCCAGACATTACAGGAGCTCTCAGACAGTGCAACCCACACACTACTGGAGCCCTCAGACACTTCAACCCAGACATTACAGGAGCTCTCAGACAGTGCAACCCACACACTACTGGAGCCCTCAGACACTTCAACCCAGACATTACAGGAGCTCTCAGACAGTGCAACCCACACACTACTGGAGCCCTCAGACACTTCAACCCAGACATTACAGGAGCTCTCAGACAGTGCAACCCACACACTACTGGAGCCCTCAGACACTTCAACCCAGACATTACAGGAGCTCTCAGACAGTGCAACCCACACACTACTGGAGCCCTCAGACACTTCAACCCAGACATTACAGGAGCTCTCAGACAGTGCAACCCACACACTACTGGAGCCCTCAGACACTTCAACCCAGACATTACAGGAGCTCTCAGACAGTGCAACCCACACACTACTGGAGCCCTCAGACACTTCAACCCAGACATTACAGGAGCTCTCAGACAGTGCAACCCACACACTACTGGAGCCCTCAGACACTTCAACCCAGACATTACAGGAGCTCTCAGACAGTGCAACCCACACACTACTGGAGCCCTCAGACACTTCAACCCAGACATTACAGGAGCTCTCAGACAGTGCAACCCACACACTACTGGAGCCCTCAGACACTTCAACCCAGACATTACAGGAGCTCTCAGACAGTGCAATCCACACACTACTGGAGTCCTCAGACACTTCAAACCAGACAATACAGGAGCTCTCAGACAGTGCAACCCACACAATACAGGAGCTCTCAGACACTTCAACCCAGACAATACAGGAGCTCTCAGACAGTGCAACCCACACACTAATGGAGCTCAGCTAATAAGAATGTTAAGTATGTGTAAATCAGGTTATGATCCTCCATCTTGTGCAAAGTTTGGAAGGTTGTGGAATAAAAGAAATGGTTTTTTTAAATTCCTCTATGTCATTCCGATTCACACAAAAGGTGGTTCATCACAGAGAAGCATAAGCCTGACTGCAATTGCCCTGTCAGCTTAACACTAGTACTTTAATAGTTAGAGGGAACAGTTCAAGGAGGTGTGCGCAGCCTGACAACACAGAGATTTACACAATAAAACACAGGGCAAACATTTTGGACTGAGAAATGTTACCAGCAACACCATGAATTTGTTATAAGTACAGCTTAGTCAATGATGCTGGTCATTAGGTAAGCTATCAAGGCTTGGGGCACAGGCTCCTACAGCTACCTGTCATGTGATGAGCAGATGATTAACGACACCAAATTGACCACTAGATGGCCTTCCAAAAAATAGATAATATAAAATCGGTAAGCACTCAACGCTTCACATGTACATATAGAGCAAAGCAATGGAAAAGATATTCCTGCAAGTAATGTATTAGGTTCAGTCTGAACAGGATAAAGGTCAATCACTGCACCCAGAACAAATTAAATACGTTCATGTGGAAAAGACACAGCTGACATAGTTTGTTAATGAAAATAACTGGACATTGGGATTGAAAAATAGCTGTGTCCATGTAAACCACAGCTTAAGTCCACGAGTAGATTGTTGTGCAATGTTTAGCAAGATAGGAACAGTTCCATTTACCACACTCAGCAGTTTTTTGGCCGATACAGATATAAATATGTGACTAGACCAGGGACACAGTAATCACACACATATTTACTGCCTCATCCTCACACTGGCTAGATATAGCCTCACACCATTTTGTCAATAAAACAGTGGAAATACTTGGTTATCTATTAAACCATACCAAATATTGTACATTGTATTGGCTTTGTTCAGTGTCATACTGGGTTTTTTTTATAGTTAGGTTTTCATTTGATTTCTTCACTGAGGCTGTTCCATCACAGAAAATCACTGGTATCAGTATCAAGGTCACATTAGGTCTCTATATAATATTAGGAGAAGTATCTATTGGGTTTGTATATAGTGTACATGATTAATTTACCACATATCTATTAAATGTTAGGTAAAAAATGTACAGGGTTTCTATATAATTGTAACAGGAGAGGAAAAATGCACGGCCAGACTGGGGTTTGAACCCAGGACCCTCAACCAATTGAGTTATCTGGTCGCCGACGATCGACTGAGTCAGTTCCGCTACATAATACTAGACTAATCTACTGGGTTTCTATGTGTTATTCTGTGACTATAGTTTACAGGGTTTCTATGTGTTATTCTGTGACTATAGTTTACAGGGTTTCTATGTGTTATTCTGTGACTATAGTTTACAGGGTTTCTATGTGTTATTCTGTGACTATAGTTTACAGGGTTTCTATGTGTTATTCTGTGACTATAGTTTACAGGGTTTCTATGTGTTATTCTGTGACTATAGTTTACAGGGTTTCTATGTGTTATTCTGTGACTATAGTTTACAGGGTTTCTATGTGTTATTCTGTGACTATAGTTTACAGGGTTTCTATGTGTTATTCTGTGACTATAGTTTACAGGGTTTCTATGTGTTATTCTGTGACTATAGTTTACAGGGTTTCTATGTGTTATTCTGTGACTATAGTTTACAGGGTTTCTATGTGTTATTGCATGACTATAGTTTACAGGGGTCGATCTATATATACTATTAGATGACTAATCAATTGCGTTTCTATTTAGTATTTAACGTCTATATAATTTACTGTTTCTATATTAGTTGATTAATTTACCAGGTTTCTATATAATGTAAAGTGACATATTCACTGGGTTTCTATACAACAAGTGATTTTATAATTGTCTCCCTTGATTTCACTAAGTTGGGGTTCTGGATTTGGTACAGGTAGATAGATCTGCTATTACAAATGAAACAGCAGACTTAAGCTAATTAAACTTGATCAGGGATCAATAAAACAAGATATCAGATCTTTTTTTTCTGGAAGATGTTATCAGTAATTGTATCAAAGTACCAGTCAAAAACTCGAAAAATCAAGAACAGTATTGAAATTTTTATTTCTTTTTTATTGAATTATTCATTCCATCTGCATGCTAACACTGAGCTATATCAAAAAGATGAAGACCAGATTAAAAGAACGATGAAAGAAAAACTGTCTCTGAACTTCCTAGAATAATTACTCAATATGATAAATGTTATGTACTGGATGCTCTGCTTCACAAAACACATCCTTGACATGCATGCACATGCACAATCATGCACCGCAGACCCAGTTACATCCAACGACATTAAAGCCAGGTTACAGATTTTGTTCTTGTTGTAAAGGATAGAAGTAACCCGAGATGATATCTCCTTCCTCCTGCCTTTTTCTCTCTCTTTTAGTGATGTTATCTTGACTGTCCTTTCCTTCCTTTCACATTTTTGTTGTCTCTCTAGGCTCCATAAATAACCACAGTGATAAGATGGCCGGGATAAGATGCAGGAGACAGCCCTTGCACAAATAAATATCATTGTCTCAAGATTTCAAAACCCTCTTTTGATATTGGTATCTTCAAACCTAACAAAGATATTCAAGGAAAATACTTCTCTTTACATTTTATAACCAATAACATCACCAAAGAAAATCACTTTAAACTATAAAGTGTTCTACCCCATTTATTGTGTTTTGTTTGAAACATTTACAGCCTCACAGAGCCTCCATGGATAGATCCGATATACAATGTTATTATTCTGATACAATAAAAAAAACCAAGAAAGTTTAAACTTACACAAGAGTGTTATCTAATGGTTCGTCTAATACATATTACTAGATTTGGTTTTTTAGTTAACAGGACTTAAACTCCTGTAAATTTAGGGAAAAACAATTTTACCTACTACTGAAGAATCCAAGTCTTAGACATGTTTTAATCGTCTCTACTCCCTCAACAAAACTTTCCAATGGGCTGATATGCTGATAACCGATCTTATACTTGTTTCATTCTGTATTTTCAAATCATAATAAAAATGTGACCCTGAACTATGGATTTTTTATTGATCACCTTACACTGACAGTATGTGTGGTATTGGTGGTAAATGAGGATGGGAAAGGAGATATACAGGGGGTTAGCATGTGGCTGGGTTAGGGTAAATTAGTGGCTGGGTTAGGGTAAATTAGTGGCTGCATTAGGGTGAATTAGTGGCTAGGTTGGGGTAAATTAGTGGCTGGGTTGGGGTAAATTAGTAGCTGGGTAAGGGTAAATTAGTGGCTGGTTTAGAGTTAATAAAGTGGCAAGGTTGAGTTAATATGTTGCTGGGTTAGGGTAAATTAGTGTCCGGGTTAGGATAAATTAGTGGCTGGGTTGGGGTAAATTAGTGGCTGGGTTAGGATAAATTAGTGGCTGGGTTGGGGTAAATTAGTGGCTGGGTTAGGGTTAATTAGTTGCTGAGTTAGGGTAAATTAGTGGCTGCATTAGGGTAAATTAGTGGCTAGGTTGGGGTAAATTAGTGGCTGGGTTGGGGTAATTTAGTGGCTGGGTTAGGGTAAATTAGTGGCTGGTTTAGAGTTAATTAAGTGGCAAGGTTGAGTTAATATGTTGCTGGGTTAGGGTAAATTAGTGGCCGGGTTAGGATAAATATGTGGCTGGGTTGCGGTCAACTAGTGGCTGGGTTAGGGTAAATTAGTGGTTGGATTAGGGTAAATTAGTGGCTGGGTTAGAGTAAATTAGAAGCAGGGTTAATGTAAATTAGTGGCTAGGTTAGGGTAAATTAGTGGCTGAGTTAGGGTAAATTAGTGGCTGAGTTAGGGTAATTTAGTGGCTGGGTAAGGGTATTAGTGGCTGGATTAGGGTAAATTAGTGGGTGGGTTAGGGTTAATTAGTGGCAAGGTTGGGGTAAATTGGTTGCTGGGTTAGGGTAAATTAGTAGCTGGGTAAGGGTAAAATTAGTGGCTGGGTTGAGTTAATGTGTGGCTGGGTTGGGGTTAATATGTAGCTGGGTTGAGTTAATATGTGGCTGCTAGGTTTGGGGTTAATATTTGGCTGGGCAGGGTTAATATGTAGCTGGTTGGGGCTAATATGTGGCTGGGTTAGGGTAAATTAGTGGCTGGGTTAGGGTATATTAGTGGCTAGGTTGACTTAATATGACGCTGGGTTAGGGTAAATGACTGGCTAGGTTAGGGTAAATTAGTGGCCAGGTTAGGGTAAATTAGTGGCTGGGTTAGGGTAGTTTAGTGGTTGGGTTAGGGTAAATTAGTGGCTTGGTTGAGTTAATATGTGGCTGGGTTGAGTTAATATGTGGCTTGGTTGGGGTTAATATGTGGCTGGGCAGCGTTAATATGTGGCTGTGTAGGTGTAAATATGTGGGCGGGTTGGGGTTAATATGTGGCTGTGTAGGGGTTACTATGTGGTTGGGTTGGGGTTAATATGTGGCTGGGTTGAGGTTAATATGTGGCTGGGTTGGGGTTAATATGTTTCTGGTTTGTGGTTAATATGTGGCTGTGTAGGGGTAAATATGTGGCTGGGTTTCGGTTAATATGTGGCTGGGTTGAGGTTAATATGTGGCTGGGTTGGTATTAATGTGTGGCTGGGATTAACATGTGGCTGTGTAGGGGTAAATATGTGGCTGGGTTTCGGTTCATATGTGGCTGGGTTGGGGTTAATATATGTGGCTGGGTTGGGGTTAATATGTGGCTGGGTTGGGGTTAACATGAAGCTGGGTTGGGGTTAATATGTGGCTTGGTTGGTATTAATGTGTGGCTGGGATTAACATGTGGCTGGGTTGGGGTTAATATGTGGCTGGGTTGGGGTTAACATGTGGCTGGGTTGGGGTTAATATGTGGCTGGGCAGGGTTAATATGTGGCTGGGTTGGGGTTAATATGTGGCTGGGTTGGTATTAATGTGTGGCTGGGATTAACATGTGGCTGGGTTGGGGTTAATATGTGGCTGGGTTGGGGTTAATATGTGTCTCGGTTAGGGTAA